CCCCCCCCCCCCCCCCCCCCCCCCCCCCCCCCACAACCCGGCCCCCCACCACGGGAGCCCCCATTGAAATGTTCATTTTTTCTTTTTGGGTGTTTTTTTAATAATTCGTAAATTGGTGTTGGGTTTATCGTGGGCTTTTGGGTATTTGGGTGGTATTTTCCTCGCGTCTTTTATTTGGGGGTTGGCCGTGCGAAATTCCGGTTTACGTGATCTTTTTTGAAAATTGGAAACGGTGGCCAAATTGATTTTCCGCAAAACAGAATGCCACTCGACGTTTCGAACGCCCCTCTCCTTTCTGACGGTCCCCTCGACGGATCCTTTGCCACAATCGGCCATGGACGGCTCAAGGCCCCCATCAAGCTGTGGCATCGCATTCACGGCACTGGTCCGATCCAGTTGGTATTTGTCATGGGCTTGAACATCACTCATCAGTCGTGGGACCACCAGTACGATTACTTTGGGAAGTTGGATCAGTACTCGTGTCTTGTGTTTGACAACCGTGGCGTTGGGCACAGTGATGCTCCGTCGGGGATGTATTCCACTTCCGAGATGGCACGGGACACGGTCGAGTTGTTGGACTCAGTGGGGTGGACGCGGCCCGTGCATGTTGTGGGGGTTAGCATGGGAGGCATGATTTCGATGGAGATGGCGAGTTTGTTTCCTGCGAGAGTTGCGAGTTTGACCTTGACGAGTACACATGCGGGGGACTTGTTGGTGCCGCTTCCGGCGGTGGTGGCTGTGCCGAGGTTGATGGTTACGACGGATCCCGTGCAGAAAATGGAGGGGTTGATTCGGTTGTTGTTTCCGCCTGCGTGGCTTGAGTTGGAGGCGAATGGGGTTACGAATCGGGAGGTGATGAGGGAGGTTTTTGTGAGGAGGGGGAAGACGGTTCCTGTGCAGACTCCGATGGGGGCGATTGGACAGGTGTGTGTGTGTGTGTGTGTTTTTTTTGGGGGTACAGGCGCGTTTGGGGGTTTTTTTTTCGCCGTGTGTTGATTTTTTGATTTTGCGTTTCGGAACAGCTGTTTGCGGCCATTTCTCACCACGTCAGTCCTGCTCGTTTGAAGGCTATCGCTGATTCGCAAATCCCTGTGATGGTTGTGACGGGAACGTGGGACAATCTCGTGCGTCCTGCAAACTCGTATTATTTGGTGCGTCACTTGAAACCGCGCGTGTTTCGCGTGTTTGAAGGAGCCGGACATGCGGTTGCGACAGAGTATTATCAAGAGTATAATGCGTTGTTGAAGGAGTTTGTGGAAGGGGTTGCGGTGGGTGGGAGGGAGCAGTCGCGTTTGTGAAGGGAGAACATTTCATTTTAATAGAAAGGATGTTTGGAATTTGACGACTCAAAAACCCTCCATAAATAACACATCATGAGAATCTCGAGCGGTTGAGGGCGACCAAGGAGGAGAATATGGAAAAACCGGATCAAAACAGGTATCAAAAGGAACAAGCACTTCAGGTCTCATACTGATCTGTTGTAAAATTCGCCTGCTGTAGATCTGGTTGTAGAAGCAGCTCCCCAAACTCGATGGGTGGGCACACCTGTCAAATCCGCGAAGGATTGATCTGCAGCCGAAACACCAATCAGTCGTCATTGGGGGGACAGAGACGGATTTTCCGTGCACATTTAAGTTGTACGGACCCCATGGCGTTAGCATACTCTTTCCTCGGAAAGAAGGCGTAAATGGGCAAGGACACTAAATTTGTCAGGCCAAGCGCAGGCGTGTGTGCATGCCTGAGATGCCTAGTTTAAAAGCAGATCATAGCGCTTTCGTTTTTCCACAACCCTTCTCACCCCCTCCCCCCCTACAGTACCTGAGGGGAGAAAAAAAAGGGTGAATTAGAATTTCTGATCGCGACCCCGGTCTAAAAAGCGAATCATTGGCCTTTGGGTTACGGGTATCGCCGACCTTAAACCGTCCGCACGGTGGCTGATCCACGCAAATGCTCTTCCCGAGTCTTGGCGGCCACGTGGCGGCAGAAAGCCGAAACGGGATCGCAACTCACGCGCTTCCGGGCCTCGAGATCAAGGTTTCTTCGGCAAGCTTAATTTTTAGTACAATATTTATACATTTTTAAAAGGGAAGTGGGTGCACGCCCCGCCAAATCCCAACGCCAGCCAGGCAAGAAAATAGGAGGAGCAAAAAAATGGATTCGAACCGGTTGACTTCTTGTCCGATACAACACCCCTTGGCGGGGAGGTTGCTGAGGAATGCTGGTGCTGGCATTGAAGAAAGAAGAATGGTTAAGGTGTGGGTGTGAGCCCCGCAAAACCTCGACGCCAGCCAGGTAAGAAAAAGGGAAGAGCAAAAAGGCGGATTCGAACCGGGGTTACGGGTCTCGCCTTCTTGTCCGTGACACCACCCCTTGGCGAGGGGGTTTGCTTAGGAATGCTGGTGCTGGCATTGAAGAAAGAAGGACGAAAGTCGGTTAAAGTGTGGGCGTAAGCCCCGCAAAATCCCAACGCCAGCCAGGTAAAAAAAGAGGAAAAGCAAGAAGGTCGTACCCGGATTCGAACCGGGGTTACGGGTATCAGAAACCCGGGTGCTAACCGCTACACTATACAACCATGTTTTGTAGATTATTTGATGTGTTAAATTTGCTCAGACCAGAATAGCACGTCATTTGGTGGCGGCGCTGAAGTCGCCGAGAATGGCCTTTTCGAACCTTTTAACGGTCTTATTTTCGCGAGTCCAAGAGCAGTCTGGCAGGCATCCTCGCTTTGAGATTCTCTCCATAACACTGTTCAACCTTCATGCATTCAGCACAAAAGCTAAAAAGCGATAAACACAGAAACACTCCCACGCACCATCCCTCCGATCCTCCTCCTTGCCAGCTGATGCACTCTCACGTGTTACAGGCAGCTCATCTTGAGTTGGGCTGATCTTGGAAGAAACACCAATGAAACGCCCAGCTCCGAGTCTCCATCACAAACTCCAATACACTGACTCAGTTCTCCTTGGCTGAGGCGAGATATTCCGTGAAGTTTTCGCACCCGACTTTGAGCTTTTTGGGATCAATGCTTGATCCGAGGTCTGATACATGGGTACTCCGCCTTATGATGTTTGGACATGTGTCAGCAAAAAACGCGACCACCTTGACGATAGCGATATACTTCTTTTGGAGGCACCTGGATAGAGTGGTCGTGAATGTAAGGATGATGGGTTGAAGACATACTTATAAAGGAAAAAAAAATGATAACTCTTGGAAAAGAGAAAGAAAAGCCCAATGCGGGGGTCGAACCCGCAACCTTAAGATTAAGAGTCTTACGCTCTACCGATTGAGCTAACCGGGCATGATATCATATGGGGACATATTATATATATGATCAACACTTTATATGAAGAACTAGGGTGGTTAGGCCCCCTCCAAATCGCGCAAGTGGCACTCGCAACGGAACCAACTCTTCGCAAGAAAGAAACCGTCACTTGACACTGCCAGCCTAGTCCAGCCGGCGCAGAGCCTATTTTGGATTTTGGCTTAGTGCCCCCTTCTCCCACGCCTCGTTCATTTTGAAAATCGAACTTTTTGCTCCAAATTTGGCAAATTTAGAGCAAGAAACAGGCATGTTCTATCTTCTGCGTTAGCATCACCACACACTTGCACCACCTCCCCCTTCATCCTGGCCTTCCACATCCACTTCCCTACCAATTCGTGTTGGCTACCCAACCATAAAGTGACGACAATCACTGTATTTTGAACAGGTTCGAAGTGGGTTCGAAGATCATGTCAGGCACAAAAAAGAAGATTCTGAGCCACGTTTCTAAGTTCATTGGTGTCAGAATCCTTAGATCAGGCGATCATGAAGATCTCTTGGCGCAAGTGTGTCTGAGTAATGGCTTGTAACACTCAGGGAACGGGGCTGGACCAGTCGT